CAATTCTACGAGATTTTTCTCGTTATTAATTACACATAAATTCTACCAGTTCAGAAAACCGTTCATTCCTTTCCCTTTCTTTTAACACACTTCATATCTGTCGTGAACAAAATCGTTTCATGTTTTTCACCCCAAAACCACATGGGAATGGAAGCCATTTGTAGTCATTTTTTGCTTTTCATCTTTTGATCTTGATTTTCTTTCTGGTTACTTTTCTTTGTTGATTTCATATTTTGACCAAATTCAACCTTTTTGTTCTGGGTCTCTTTTCTCTTGTCTTTTTTTTAATTGCTCTTCTTCCTTCAGTTTTTTCTCTTTTTCATTCGATTCATAATGTTTCCACTTGATAGAAGTAACAACGGAAGGTATTTTTTCTTTTGAACACTTAGACTTCTTTTGTATCCTAAGAGGGAACTAAAGTCAGGTATATAAATCTAATGTTCTTTGATATTGACATCGCTTTGAAAATAATATTTTCTAATTATCAGAGATATTTTCCTACACGTAGGGTCCGGCAACAATGCCAAAATGTCATTTAGGTGAATTACTGATACATCCTCTTCCACAAGTTTGAATATCCTTCTTGACTCAGAGCCAAACACTTCAAACTCAAACTTTTCTAACACTTCTTTGATGAGGCACACATAACGAAATTCCGTTTTCTTTCTTGAACCAGCTAAGAATTTAACCAACACAAATTTGTTGATATTGATGATATTTAAGGTTGGTTGAACGTATTCTAGGGGCTCGCCTTCATCAGAACTTACATCATCATCAGTGTCTTCATCATTTAACTCCTCGTTAAACTCTGTAGCTAAAATTTCATCATCCTCGTCTGATGAGTTTGAACAGAGGGACCAGCAACACTTTTTCCAGGTTCTACCCTAAATCTTTGTCTTTCTATTTGACTGTACTTTTGTAGCATTGTATCTACTAGTTTTTTTAATATTCTGTAAGATTTATTTATTTATTTATTATCCTTCTCTTGTTCTGGGCCCTCAACAGGCTTGCGCCCAATTACAGAGTGATCCGCGTAATGCTTTTTCGAGGGGCCTCTAAGATGGTGTGAGATGTCTGTTTCAACGTCTTGAGGGGCAATGTTATCATCGGGAATTTTTCGTAATACTCGCTCAGGATTAAAGGGTGCTCTTCACACTGGTTTAAAACGTCTGGATTAAAATGAGACGCCAAATTATCGCCTAAAAGCAATTTTCGCCCGTCCAATCTTTTTGCATGAGGCAAAAAAACTGACGAAAACCATTCATTAAATGTAGGCATGTCTATTCAGCCATGACTTGTCCGGTTATAACGAGTTGCTCCAGAACAGCAAACCTTGTCACAACATGGGTATCCCTTAGGTCCATTTGTGGTCCATGTACTCCATAGGTTTTCAGCTTTATATATCACGTAAGGTGGGAGTAGAGTGCTCGACGCTGAACCACATACTTTATTTAACAATGCTTTAATTGCAACCGCCGCGCGGCCACCCATTCGTTATGGAAGTATATTATCGTAAAGTATCAAGATGGACAAGGTGTAAACAATAAATTGTTGCCGATCTTCGGTCATACACATTGCAAAATCATAAAGTCAATTGTGCGAAGTCATCAAACCGATAGCAAGGTCACTGTTGTTGTTTTCACTCTTTGTACATTTCACGCTTGTTTATCCTCTCAATAGGAGCCTGTTATATTCGAAATTTTTGCGTTCATTAATATAAATATCCAATTGGCTTTCAAATACAACAAAAAAGTGACGGAATTATCTCCAACTAGATGTAATCCAACTGTGTGTGTCTTTTAAGATTGTGAACATTGAGGAGGAACCAATAGAAAAATTGATGGAATGGGATTTGAAGGACAACTAATTGGAAAAACAATACCAGGCTTAACCAATTTTTGCAAAAAAAAAGTATTTCGTGTCTCGTGTTTTCTTTAAGTCGAGAACGTAAATTAATTTCAAATTCAGATTTTCTAAAATGAACTTGTCAATAGACATACTATTCCGAAACCCTGAAACCCATACGCAAGAGAATCCGAAGGGTCTAGAACTCAGGAAAGAAGGCAGCACTTGGACAAAAATGAAGTTCCTGTGCTGCAACATCCTCCGTGCTGTCCCGATTTGGCCCCGTGCGACTTCTTCTCTACAGTTTGACAGAGAATGATCTGCAGCATTGCTTCCAACAATGTAAAATTCGAACGGAGCGGTATGTACAGGGTGGCACAACAAAAACGAAACTTTTACTTTTACTTAAAAAGTTACACCTCTGGCGAGATACAAATTTGGTTAAATGGGAGAAAAGTTGCGCAATGAGAGGTCTAAGGAGATAATCGTATAAAAATCCCTGAAAAATTCTTGGTTCTTAAATTTTTTTCGATTTTACGCACTAATTTTTCTGGCGTTAATATTTGACCTAGAGCAAAACTAATGACTTTCTCCACCAACTTTTAATGCTTTTTAAGGTGGTTGTCAATTTTTTATTGCGACGTTTCGTCTTTGCCGAACGATCATCACTAAAAGAGTTCAACATGTCTCGTACTAATGCGGAAAGGAGGAATTTTTCTAAAATAAGTTGTGCTTATCTTGAAATTAATTAAGTTACGCCGCGATAACAAAACTTCTTATCTACGACCGGACTCATATGTACAAATTGGTGACACGGAAGTTATGCCAACTTCTCATTGCTAATTCTAAATGGAACACCCTATATAGTATTTCATTTTGATGAGAGCAAATAAACGCGCTGGTTTCGCCTAAAGGGGAACGGGTACAGTTTCCGTAGATGCATGGAATATCAGTCAGCGTTATGTTGCTGCTGCCACAGATGGTTACAAATTACAAAACTGGACCAAATGAGATGTTCTGCCACCGTAGTGGTTATATATAAACATTTTTTGACCTAGACGATCGTTTTTCGGTTTTCTTCTGTATTTTGTTGGTTTGTAAAGTTTGTCTCATGTTCAACAAGATATACAAATCAACGTAAGAGTGATTTTCGAGGTGACAATCCAGCTAACCAGGGCCTCAATTCTTGAATTGCAGGGAGTAGAACTTCCTAGGGAAGTGGGCGTGGTTTTCTACCAAATGTGTCATACTGTATTCTTGAAAAAATATTAAGGGAGGGAGCTGCTCCCAAGAGAACTAGAAGTTCCCCTACTATTTACCGAGAGAAGAAGCAAACTTAACCTAGAATCGGTAGTGTGTTCATATCGGTTAGGAACTTAAGTTTGGTGATAACAATTTAATATAAGTATTTAAAATGAATATAGACGATTTTAATTTAATATTATTGAATGACATTATTAATGAGAATATTGAGGAAGCAGCAGCACATGTGGCTATTGGGAGGGACGTTTTGTCTCAGACCAATCCATTTGAATTATCGGACAGAAAATTTGTTCAGTTGTTTAGGGTGGATAAGGACCTGTGTCATGAAATAATTGACATGGTTAGCCCCTTTTTAATTCACCCTTCAAGAACCTCTGCTTTGTCTATACAAACCAAGGTAGATAAGAAAATAGTATAGTTGCTTATCAAAGCATGCTCACATACCTAGACTTATTTATTCGTTTTATGCGAATGGAAATGTTAATTATTATCTATTTATGTAGGTACTTGCTGCTTTGAGGTTTTATGGTTCAGGCAGCTATCAAGAAATTACTGGCTCAAACAGTTTTGTGGCCATTAGCCAGCCTTCAGTTAGTCGAGCTGTAAATGAAGTCACAAATGCCTTGAATCGGCCTGAAATTTTAAACAATGAAATAAGGTTCCCTCAAAATGTTGAAGAGTTACAAAATCTTCGAACTAAGTAAATATAAATATTAATTTCTATTTGTAGCAATTTAATTCTGGTCTTTTTTATTTATAATTTTTCATTTAACTTTTTTTAGGTTTTATGAAAAGTATCGATTTCCTGGGGTAATTGGGTGCATTGATTGTACTCATGTGAGTGTTGTAGCTCCACATGCTAATGATGAGCATGTTCCTGAGCATATATATGTGAATCGGAAAAATTATCATTCACTTAATGTACAACTGGTATGTTTATTAGAAGGAAAAACCAAAAATTACTGACATATACTCTTCTTTAAGATTTGTGATCACAACCTGAAAATATTAAATGTAATTGCAAGATTCCCAGGTTCTACTCACGATGCACACATTTGGAGACAATGTGCAGTCTCCAATTTAATGGAACAGTTATATAGGAGAGATCCTGCAAACGTTTTTCTCTTGCTAGGCGACTCAGGTGAGGCTTGGGAGAATGTAAAAAAAACGAACATAAATACCTGACTTGTATAGTACAATATTGTGATTAATTAATTTTAGGATATCCTACTCGCCCATGGTTATTAACTCCGATATTAAATCCTGAAAACCCTGGACAACAACAGTATAATGAAAGAGTATGTTCTGTAAGGTCCATCATTGAACGGTGTAATGGTGTACTTAAAAATCGATTTAGATGTTTATTAAGGTATCGCACTTTACACTATCACCCAACAACAGCTGCCAAAATTGTAAATGCATGTTGTGTTCTCCACAATTTATGCATTGTTAGAAATACACCAGAACCAGATGATCCTCATATAGAAGAGCCTGATTATGGCATGTATAATATACCAAACTTTAACAATAACATCCAACGGGTAGTTAACCCTGATTTGGCAGCTGCAAGGGATTTGCAGCAGAACATTATTGCAAATCATTTTAATGAGTAAGTTTGATTGTACATAATAGTTAGTTAATGTTAATACAAGAGTAAGTACTTTTTTGTTAATTCATAAGTATGTTACATAGATCTAAATTAGTATTATATTACGATTGTTAGGCGTATTCAAGTATCTTGTCTTTAGTTTATAGGTAGGAGTTAAAGATGTTTAACCAGACAAAATCATTTAGGTATATACTTACTAATAATAAAATAATAAATTCAGCAAAATAAATAATGTAATTCTAAAAAAAAACAGTTCACCAGATTGTTATCACAGGAAAAAAAATCAATCTGTTTCTACATCACTCGCTAAATCAATAATAATCTATTTGGAAGACATTTTAATTAAAGAATTTGAAATTTCTGACAAAACTTTAAAATTTTCTTGATGATGCTTTTCACTAGCATCTATTTTTTGTTTATAATAATTTGCTTTATTTTCACAGTGCTTCTTCATTACTTCTAACTTTTTCTCCCTGTACAGTCCGGTAGAAAGAATGCCTTTCTGGCTTATTGCAAGAAATTTTTTATTATTCGATATTGAGTCGGCCAACCTTGCCGACTTTGTGTATCGATTTTTCATACCCTTCATCGGCTGTTTTTTAGCCGATACAGGTACTGGATCTGCTTTACTTGTTGAAGGTAAAGATAAACTGTAATCATGGTGTAGCATGATATCCTCCCCTACTTCATCAGGCATGGCATTTTTCTGCAAGATTTCCATAGATTCCTCTATTACCTAGAATGGTGAAGATTATAAGATAATTACAACATATTATCAAAAATTAGTTATACTTGGAAATTATGTACGTATTATATTTCTTATCATTTTATGGTGAAAAAATAAATTCAGATTTACACAAAATCATGCACATATGGAATTATTTTATCAACTCCAATTCAAATCAATATGAAACGACATTAATATTCCTTAACCGCCAATAAAGCTGTTCAATAATTAGGTACTTACAGTACTTGAGTGTGCTGGCAATTCTGTGGTTTCACTTGATCTTCCACTTATAATAGTGTCAAATATAATGTCCGGTTCGGGTACATCCTCATTTCCTTCGATTGCAACAGGTGTAATTATTTCTAAGATTTTGTCGTCAATTGATTTATCGTCACAGGTCTCTGGGTCGGGAGGAGATAATGGTGGACCACCTCCTGTCCCTTGACTATATCGTTGCTCCTTAGTCTTTCTACTTTTGACATTCTTTTTAATATCCGTCCATGTCTGTTAATAAAGTTAAAGTTTAAAATATGTAGAATGAAATTTGCAGTTCATTTACTAAAATCTCGACTGAAATTATGCTGTCCCCAAGGGACCTAGTCTACACAAAACATACCCAAACAACCTACCTTTCTCCACTGCTTCCAATCCTTTGTAGCCCCTCCAGGAATTGCGTTTAGCATGCAGGTTACCTCTTTCCACAATGCCATTGCTACTGCATTTGTATAAGTGCCGGTTAATTTGCCCTTATACATGTCAGGCCGGGCGTATACAAAATTTACCAGGGTCTCTTTCTGTTTAGAACTCAATTGCCTAGATTTCACATCCATTTTAAAAGATAAACAATGAAATGTAAAATGACTTAAAATGTAAACAAAACGTTACTGAAAATGAGGTTAATGAAAAAATATGGAATGTCAAAAATTTCCTGCGACTCTATTGGTTGACTAAACTGGCAACGTTGCTCCCCAGGTACTGCTCCCTCCTTTATGTTCCCTAGCGCTTTCAATATTTCAAGAATGTGACATTTTCCTGTCGGGGAATAGAAATGAGGGAACATTCCCTGAAAGCTCCCCGGGAGCACTCCCTTCTCTTTGCTTCAAGAATAGGCGTCCTGGAGTGTATTGAGTCCACTAATACCCAAGTACCCACCCATATTTGTAACTTTTCTGAAAGTATGTCTGTAAATGGTGTATTTTATTCAAGAATCGTGCATAGTGTTTATGGAGAAAAAAAAGCACGAATTAAAGTGAATAATTCCGCCATTTTAAATTGGTTGTGCATAAATTTCGAATTAGTACGAAAATGTACACATTCCTATTTTTACTCTATACATTTCTTGTAATAGTTAAAGCACGTAAAATTTCACCGAAATTTAAAATAATTACTAGTTTACTTGCCAATTCTTTTACCCTTGGAAAAAACATCTTCTACGCCTATGCATCAATTCAAAGCATTCCACAGCTGATTATAGCAGCTAGTGCGCAAGTATACTAAAAATTGTGAGACAAAAAATAAGGTTTCTCTGTCAGTAATGTTGGCTCACTTTTAACACATGTATTAACTATATTAAGCGCTATCTACGGGAGTATGTATGATCGAAG